ATGGCCCCTGTCTTTTATGTTCAGAACCTTTGATTGAGCGTTCATTGGAGTTCAACACATCTTTCACCCCTGAGTCATTCATGCAAAATCAAAGTTTTTCATGAAATACCATGAGCACATTTAGTTTAGTCAACAATACATCTGATAATGATGGGCTCACCGTTTAGTTTTAAATAAAATGTAATTCTATAGCAAAAAAGACATGATGCAATTTTCAAAACAGATATTTTTGAAGTGCTGAATAGAAGGAATAATAAAGGTTAAATACAAATCTCCATTCAGTATTTTGCTACATACCAGTATGTACAATTTTTTCAAATTTACTGCAAATCATATTTTAAAAAACAAATGTTTGTTCCAACGTAAGGTTTGGAGCAAAATGTCAGTCTTACAGTTTCAGTATCCTTATAACGTACATACAGTGCATTCGGAAAGTATTCAGACCCCTTGACTTTTTCCACATTTTGTTACGTTAAAGCCTTATTCTAAAATATATATTTTTTTTTTATAATCTTCATCAATCTACACTCAATACTCCATAATGACAAAGTGAAAACAGGTTTTTATAATTTTTTGCAAATGTATTAAAAATAAAAAACATAAATACCTTATTTACATACGCTACCAGTGAAAAGTTTGGACACACCTACGCATTCAAGGGTTTTTCTTTATTTGTATGATTTTTTACACTGTAGAATAATAGTGAAGACATCAAAACTATGAAATAACACATATGGAATCATGTAGTAACCAAAAAAGTGTTAAACAAATCTTCAAATAGCCACCCTTTGCCTTGATGACAGCTTTGCACACTCTTGGCATTCTCTTAACCAGCTTCATGGAGGTAGTCACCTGGAATGCATTTCAATCTCATGAGAACCGCCACAGGAATGGAAGACCCAGAGTTCCCTCTGCTGCAGAGGATAAGTTCAGTAGAGTTACCAGCCTCAGAAATTGCAGCCCAAATAAATGCTTCACAGAGTTCAAGTAACAGACACATCTCAACATCAACTGTTCAGAGGGGACTGTGTGAATCAGACCTTCATGGTCGAATTGCTGCAAAGAAACCACTACTAAAGGACACCAATAATAAGAAGAGACCTGCTTGGGCCAAGAAACACGCGTAATGGACATTAGATTTTTGGTTCCAACCGCCGTGTCTTTGTGAGATGCAGTATGGGTGAACGGATGATCTCTGCATGTGTATTTCCCACCGTAAAGCATGGAGGAGGAGGTGTTATGGTGTGGGGTTGTTTTGCTGGTGACACTGTCTGTGATTTATTTAGAATTCAAGGCACACTTAACCAGCATTGCTACCACAGCATTCTGCAGCAATACGCCATCCCATCTGGTTTGGGCTTAGTGGGACTATCATTTGTTTTCAACAGGACAATGACCCAACACACCTCCAGGCTGTGTAAAGGGCTATCTACCAAGAAGGAGAGTGATGGAGTGCTGCATCAGATGACCTGGCCTCCACAATCCCCCGACCTCAACCCAATTGAGATGGTTTGGGATGAGTCACATGGCAGAGTGAAGGAAAAGCAGCCAGCAAGTGCTCAGCATATGTGGGAACTCCCTCAAGACTGTTGGAAAAGCATTCCAGGTGAAGCTGGTTGAGAGAATGCCAAGAGTGTGCAAAGCTGTCATCAAGGCAAAGGGTGGCTATCTGAAGAATCTCAAATATAAAACATATTTTGATTTGTTTAACACTTTTTTGGTTACTACATGATTCCATATGTGATATTTCATAGTTTTAATGTCTTCACTATTATTCTACAATGTAGAAAATAGTAAAAATTAAGAAAAACCCTTGAATGAGTAGGCGTGTCCAAACTTTTGACTGGTACTGTAAGTATTCAGACCCTTTGCTATGAGTCTCAACATTGAGCTCAGGTGCATCCTGTTTCCATTGATCATCCTGGAGATGTTTTTACAACTTGATTGGAGTCCAACTGTGGTAAATTCAATTGATTGGACATGATTTGGAAAGGCACACACCTTTCTATATAAGATCCCACAGTTGACTGTATATGTCAGAGCAAATACCAAGCCATGAGGTTGAAGGAATTGTCCGTAGAGCGCCGAGATAGGATTGTGTCGAGGCACAAATCTGGGGAAGGGTACCAAAACATTTCTGCAGCATTGAAGGTCCCCAAGAACACAGTGGCCTCCATCATTCTTAAATGGAAGAAGTTTGGAACCACCAAGACTCTTCCTAGAGCTGGCCGCCCGGCCAAACTGAGCAATCGGTGGAGAAGGGCCTTGGTCAGGGAGGTGACAACGAACCCGATGGTCACTCTGACAGAGCTCCAGAGTTCCTCAGTGGAGATAGGAGAACCTTCCAGAAGGACAACCATCTCTGCAGCACTCCACCAATCAGGCCTTTACGGTAGAGTGGCCAGATGGAAGCCACTCCTCAGTTAAAGGCACATGACAGCCCGCTTCGAGTTTGCCAAAAGGCACCTAAAGGACTCTCAGACCATGAGAAACAAGATTCTCTGGTCTGATGAAACCAAGATTGAACTCTTTGGCCTGAATGCCAAGCGTCACGTCTGGAGGAGACCTGGCACCATCTCTACGGTGAAGCATGGTGGTGGCAGCATCATGCTGTGGGGATGTTTTTCAGCGGCAGGGACTGCGAGACTAGTCAGGATTGAGGGAAAGATGAATGGAGCAAAGTACAGAGAGATCCTTGATGAAAACCTGCTCCAGAGCACTCAGGACCTCAGACTGGGGCGACGGTTCACCTTCCAACAGGACAACGACCCTAAGCACACAGCCAAGACAATGCAGGAGTGGCTTCGGGGACAAGTCTCTGAATGTCCCTGAGTGGCCCAGCCAGAGCCCGGACTTGAACCCGATCAAACATCTCTGGCGAGACCTGAGAATAGCTGTGCAGCGACGCTTCCAACCTGACAGAGTTTGAGAGGATCTGCAGAGGTGAATGGGAGAAACTCCCCAAATACAGGTGTGCCAAGCTTGTAGCATCATACTCAAGAAGACTGAGTAAAGGGATATTTCAGTTTTTTAAATGCAAACATTTATAAAAACCTGTTTTTGCTTTGTCATTATGGGGTATTGTGTGTAGATTGATGACGATTCAATTTTAGAATAAGGCTGTAACGTAACAAAATGTGGAACAAATCCAGGGGTCTGAATACTTTTCCAATGCACTGTATGTAGAAGAAATCATCAGACATTGTGGCATGTATTGTAAAGCAGAAGCCTAAAGTAAAAAGGGATTGTGTAGCCTGTTATATGTATTCCATTTCTGCCCCGTGCATGCTACATTGCACAATATCAACTTTTCTATGTGACTTACAGTATTACTATAAACTGCTACAGTTTCATCAGCTAAAATTATCAGCTTACAGTGTATCAATGAAATCCAGATAATGAGTGGAATATATTGTTATATACAACCTAATTATTTCAGCAGTACCTTGCACACTACACTATAATTCCAAATGGTAACACATATAGTTTCCACTATGTCCTATTGAAGCACACTGACTGATGGAGGATGATGATGTAGTTACAGCCTATATATGATTTGGTTCTACCTTCCAACATAAATTGATGTCAATTGATACATTTATGATGTAAAAATATAGAATGTGACATGTTTATCAGCATAATTTTTGTTGACGCTGTTAATCACGTCTCCATTTCTTCACCGCACGGAACCTTTTAAGCGCACCTTTTAAGTGCAGAACATAACACAGAACACATCTACAGTCAATGCTTGCGCCTCAGAGTGTGTGTGCTGTCAACCATGAAACATTCTCAGTATTAATGACTCAGCTATTGGCTGAGAAAGAATCGCACAGAAGTCAGCCACTAGGTGTCACCAGTGTCCATGTTCTGGAGGCCAGCATGGAACAGCAGTGTCTGGAGTTGGGTCACTGCCTACTTTACAACTGCTGCTGGATTGGTTGACTGGTCTCGCTCTCTGTCTCTGTCTCTCTCTATCACTCACACTCTCTCTCTCTCTCGCTCTCTCTCTATCACTCACACTCTCTTTCTCTCTCTCTTGCTCTCTAGCTCTGAGGTGCAGCCCTGGGTGGACAGAGCAGAGAGGAGATGCGAGATAGAGATAGATAGATAGAGAGAGAGAGAGAGAGAGAGAGAGAGAGGGAGCAAAGAGATGGATGTGTTTGCAAGAGTTTAAAGGAGGCTGGATGGGTTGACATCGTAAATCTCTCCCCACTTCATTCCACCATTCTACATGAGTGCCTCTGGGAATATCGGAATGTGGCAGCTAACCTGTGGAACCATGTCTTTTGATTCCAGCTACATAAATTACAGTCCTGGAATGCAGGACAACCCCACGGATTAGTGAGAACCATGCTTAGGAGTGAATATAAGCAATACAGATGTTAGGAGAGCAAAGATAGCATTTACTCATTTTAGACATTTTGTCAGCAAAAAAGATAGCATTTACTAATTTCAGACATTTTATCAGCAAATTCATATATACAGTGCCTAGTGAAAGTCTACACACCCCTTAGAGTCTTCATATTTTGCTGACCTTTCAAATGAAATCTAAAAATGGATTAAATTATATATTTTTCCGATGTACACAACCTACTCCACATTTCCAAAGTGAAAGAAAAATTACAGAACATGAATACTTGGTGAAAACACCTTTGGCAGCCATTTAGTCGGGAATAATTTTGAATAAGAATCTACCAACCTTGCACAACTCTTAGGGCAACACTTATCCATTGTTTTTGTCAAAATTGGTCAAGCTCAGTAAATTTGGTAGGGAGTCTTATTTTCATTTTCAATGCTAGTGTTTGTTATTGATTTTTCCCCAATTTTTTTTTTTTACATATTATTTATTTACACAGCATGAATATTAACACAGGGTAAGGTTAAAATCACTCCTCAGCACAGCACTTGTTGGCTTTAGCAATGAAGCTCTCCATAATTTCCTTTTAGCTTTAGGAGGCCCGTCTCGTCCTCCTGAAGGGCTTGCCTGTATACTCAAGCCACTATTGAATTGGTCGTCCATTAATTTCTCCACAATGGACAGACAGGTGGTTGACAGTCGTGGTGAGCACACTGGCTAGGTTGTTCGCCAGAGTCCGCCACTCCTCTTTGGTTTCTTGCAGAACAATCTGGTACTGTTGCTTGGCAGCTTTCAGCTCCTCCACGGCGTCGTCATATCCCAAGGTCACCTTCTTCTCCAGCAGCTTGCGGTGGTTCTCCGCATCCTCCATCTCAGCAGCAAACTTCTGATCCTCACCGGCCTTCTCCTGGATGTGGTGTTCAAGCTGCTCCTCCACCCTGCGAATTTGCTCTCTCAGTTGTTTGCCTTTTCTGAAATATTTGAATTAACCTTTTCCACAGACTCTTCCAGACCAAATGTAATGTTTGTTAGCCGAATACACTCTTCTTCCACATCATTGATCATTTTCCTAAGTGGATTTTGAATCTGTGTTCTGTATTGGACCGTAGTCGATGGTTTGTATTCTGTTGTGGTCCAGCTTGTGGTACTCAGCTACCTTCACTTCAGCTGTCTCTTTGACCTTGGCCAGAGCGATCTCTTCTTTCCACATGTGCTGCTCAGTCTGCTCCAGGCTTTTGCTCAGGCTGTTGATGGTCTGCTGCAGCCCACTCTTCTCCCAGTTGATCCTCTCGATGTTTGCTGGGGTGAATTTCTGGGTGGACAGGACGCATTGGACCCTCAACTGCTCCTTTTTCAGGGTCTTCACCCGCAGACCCGATGCTTCCAGCTCCTCAGACAGTCCTGAGGCTTTGTTATCCAAGTTGGCTTTGAACGATGTTAGCTCACTGTGATAGATCTGAAGCTTCTGCAGGTCCATGTGGCTTTTTCACTCGTTTAGACTTTAAATCGGTCCGTTTGACTTTCTTTCTCCAGCCGCTCAACCTTATCACACAGGATTCCTTACCTCTTCTTGGACACCAGAAGAGCTTCGTCCACATTGTACAGTTTCTTTAAATAAGCAAGGCATTATTTGTCCTCCTCTTCAAATGTGTCTGCTCCTTGCATAAACTTGTGGTAGGTTTCAGCAGTGTAGTCTAGAAAGAGCTTATTGAAGTCAACACCATGCTGCCATCAGAAAAATCATAGATTAGCATATCCTGTTGTTCACTCAGCAGGCAAGAATTCTTACAAGTATCAATGAGCCAGGTCAGAGCCCCTAACACCTGTGGCCAGGTATGTGACGCTCCCACGGAGAACATGAAACTTTTAGAGAGTGCAAATGGATATCCCTAGTCTGAGAATCCTGGGGACCTCCTCCTCCACTTTGAACCTGTCAGTTCTACAAATAAGAACTCGAAACAGTTAGCATTTACGTATGCATAAGTAGGATATAGCCGGTAGTTTATCCAAAAATGATTTAAAAATGGTAGAGAGTAAAATAGTATGATTTATTTATCAGAAGAATCTATTACAGCTAAAAAAAAAATGCCATGCTCTAAAATGTCAATGCAAAGCCAAACGCTAAAGAAGACGGTGCAATAAAATGCCAGTACAAAGACATCAGATAGTTGGTATGTGTTTCTTCGTCGAGGGGAGACTGGAAACCAAGTTCAGCATCCGTGATGCCAGCTGCAGGCTCTGCCAGATTCATCTAGTAAAACTAATGGAATGCATACGAGTTGTGGCTTTACTAATTTATTTACTTTGTCAATGATACACACCAGCGCGCGCTCTCGCGCTCTCTCTCTCTCTCTCTCACACACACATACATACACACACACTTCCCCCTTATATACAAACACAGGAAAAAACCTATCCAATAAAACAAAAAAACACAAATACTGTAAAAATGCTCATCTTTACAGTAATATCTCGCTAGATCAATAATGATTGATGGGGGCTCTTTGTATAATCGTCATGTACTACTCACTTCACAGCCATATGACACCGTGCCTGTGGCCAGCCACTAGCCTGGTCTACACTCAGGCAGTCAATCAAATCACAGCTTAAAAATACAGAGTGGCTACGGATACAGAGTTTCTGTATCCCAATTTGCCCAGGAAAAAATGTCTGCGCATGTGCAGGATCTTTTTTCTCGTAGCTGAGTGCCCACTCTGCTGCCTAGGTATCGGCTGTGCTGAATGCTCCACTGCCCCTCCCCCTCCATCGCTTTTGTTGTACACAAAACTGTTCAAACTATTGCATTCCATGCTTCAGTAAGCATAAACGCGATTTCATGTTATTTTTTTCAGGAGGGGAGTAGGCTACATGCAGCTTACATATTTTACACAAAATACATTAGCGAAATCTTCATACAAACTTTGTTGTCAGTATTGCAAACATAAGCACGTCACAAACAGGCAGTCTAACTATTTCATGTTTTTCTTAGCTGCATGTAACTCAGCAGCTAAGAAAAACATGAAATCGTTAGACTGCCTGTTTGTGTCGTGCTTATGTTTGCAATACTGACAACAAAGTTTGTACGAACATTTTGATAATGTATTTTGTGTAAAATATTTACTCGCCCCGATATCAGCATATATGGTATATCAGCATATACAGTGCATTTGGAAAGGATTCAGACCCCTTCCATTTTTCCACATTTTGTTACGTTACAGCATTATTCTAAAATTGATTAAATAAAACATTTTCCTCATCAATCTACACACAATACCCCATATTGACAATGCAAAAACATGTTTTATTTTTTATTTTTATTTACATTATTATTCAGACCCTTTGCTGTGAGACTCAAAATTGAGCTCAGCTGCATCCTGTGGTCCTGGTGGTCACTCTGACAGAGAACCTTCCAGAAGGACAACCATCTCTGCAGCACTCTAGAGTGGCCAGGCGGAAGCCACTCCTCAGTAAAAGGCACACGACAGCCCGCTTGGAGCTTGCCAAGATTCTCTGGTCTGATGAAACCAAGATTGAACTCTTTGGCCTGAATGCCAAGTGTCTCGTCTGGAGGAAACCTGGCACCATCCCTACTGTGAAGCATGGTGGTGGCAGCATCATGTTGTGGGGATGTTTTTCAGCGGCAGGGACTGGGAGACTAGTCAGGATCGAGATGAACGGTACAAGTACAGAGAGATCCTTGATGAAAACCTGCTCCAGAGCGCTCAGGACCTCAGACTAGGGCGAAGGTTCACCTTCCAACAAGACAATGACCCTAAGCACACAGACAAGAAAACATAGGAGTGGCTTCGGGACAAGTCTCTGAATGTCCTTGAGTGGCCCAGCCAGAGCCCGGACTTGAACCCGATCGAACATCTCTGGAGAGACCTGAGAATAGCTGTGCAGCGACGCTCCCCATCCAACCTGACAGCTTGAGAGGATATGCAGAGAAGAATGGGAGAAACTCCACAAATACAGGTGTGCCAAGCTTGTAACGTCATACCCAGGAAGACTTGAGGCTGTAATCGCTGCCAAATGTCCTTCAACAAAGTACTGATTAAAGGATCTGAATACTTATGTAAATGTTATATTTAAGTTTTTTATTTTTTATAAATTAGCAAAAATATATCCAAACCTGTTTTTGCTCTGTCATTATGGGGTATTGTGTGTAGATTGATGAGGAAAAGAAACAATTGAATCCATATGAATATAAGGCTGTAACGTAACAAAATGTGGAAAAAGTCAAGGGGTCTGAATACTTTCCGAATGCACTGTATGGTATAACTATGGCACTGGGAGATGCAAAACAAACTCACTATTTTTACCGATCCGGATACACGCTCAGCTGCCTAGAACATTCAGCTGTAGCCTTCATAATATGTATGTTTTGGAATGTTCGTTCAAATCACCACAGGGTTTTTGATTCAGCTGTTCAGAAATATGAGGCAGAGACATAGGCTACGTCTTCATGGTTTAGAAGAGGGTGAGTAAAGAGCAAAACGTGAAGGGAGGGGGAGTGTGAGCAGCAGCTAAGTTAGAAAAATGAATGTGTGTGTAAAATAACACATGCGCAGAACGTGATCCGGATCTTTAGCTTTAAGAGAGAGGTTTCCAGAGGGGCGGGCAGGGAGTGGGGGAAAACTCAGTATCTGTAGCCTCGGCCTTAAAAATAACAGTTTGTTAGCACCATTGATTTAGCACTTAGAGCGTGTCCTTTATACTTTGTAATTATGGGCAGTGTTGACATAGAGCCCATACACCCAGCCTCCCCCAACACCCCAAGCCTCTGTTCAGGAGAATTGATGGGCCTTAGTTTTATTATGGCCATTTTATGTCTGTGTTCCCCAGTTAGAGTTGCAGCCAAGGGCCTGTATTTCATTCGTAGAGGTCAGGATTCCCAGGAAACCCCTGTTAAACTAAATCGACTGCTCTACTGACACACCAGAGAGGGAACAGGGATTGCCCTCCCTTAAGGCTCGTTAAAACAAACATTGCCACGTAGGGTCCTAAGCATGTAATTCATGTCATTCATGAGGAAAATGTAATACAAGGTTATGACTATGAATGGGACACGGGTGGACTAGTGTCACACTAAGCCAAAGGCTTCCATTCAGAAACAGACAGGAAGGAATCACCTCTAAATGAATAACAATGAGGCCCTCACTTTGAATCCATTAAGGGACTGTTAGAATGCTCTGTTGTAGTCTATTTTGTTATTTTGACGACTAAGTGGAACGGCTTTACAAAACGAGTCATCTGTGTCATTAAAGCTGTGTACCAGACGGTACAGCTACAGCCACTAACAGTTGGTCTGTTACAGTGAAAGGTACAGTTGAAGTCGGAGGTTTACATACACCTTAGCCAAATACATTGACACTCAGTTTTTCACAATTCCTGACATTTAATCCTAGTAAAAATTCCCTGTCTTAGGTCAGTTAGGATCACCACTTTATTTTAAGAATTTGAAATGTCAGAATAATAGTAGAGAGAATGATTTGTTTCAGCTTTTATTTCTTTCATCACATTCCCAGTGGGTCAGAAGTTTACATACACTCAATTAGTATTTGGTAGCATTGCCTTGAAATTGTTTAACTTGGGTCAAATGTTTCGGGTAGCCTTCCACAAGCTTTCCACAATAAGTTGGGTGAATTTTGGCCCATTTCTCCTGACAGAGCTAGTGTATCTGAGTCAGGTTTGTAGGCCTCCTTGCTCGCACACGCTTTTTCAGTTATTTTCACACATTTTCTATAGGATTGAGGTCAGGGCTTTGTGATGGCCACTCCAATACCTTGACTTTGTTGTCCTTAAGCCATTTTGCCACAACTTTGGAAGTATGCTTGGGGTCATTGTCCATTTGGAAGATCAATTTGCGACCAAGCTTTAACTTCCTGACTGATGTCTTGAGATGTTGCTTCAATATATCCATATAATTTTCCTTCCTCAAGATGCCATCTATTTTGTGAAGTGCACCAGTCCCTCCAGCAGCAAAGCACCCCCACAGCATGATGCTGCCACCCCCTGTGCCTCAAGGTTGGGATGGTGTTCTTCGTCTTGCAAGCACCCCTTTTTCCTCCAAACATAACGATGGTCATTATGGCCAAACAGTTCTATTTTTGTTTCATCAGACCAGAGGACATTTCTCCAAAAAGTAAGATCTTTGTCCCCATGTGCAGTTGCAAACCATAGTCTGGCTTTTTTATGGCGGTTTTGGAGCAGTGGCTTCTTCCTTGCTGAGCGGCCTTTCAGGTTATGTCGATATAGGACTCGTTTTACTGTGGATATAGATGTTTTGTACCTGTTTCCTCCAGCATCTTCACAAGGTCCTTTGCTGTTGTTCTGGGATTGAGTTGCACTTTTCGCCTTCCTGAGCGGTATGACAGCTGCGTGGTCCCATGGTGTTTATACTTGCGTACTATTGTTTGTACAGATGAACGTGGTACCTTCAGGCGTTTGGAAATTGCTCCCAAGGATGAATCAGACTTGTGGAGGTCTACCATTTTCTTTCTGAGGTCTTGGCTGATTTCTTTTGATTTTCCCATGATGTCAAGCAAAGACGCACTGAGTTTGAAGGTAGGCCTTGAGCTACATCCACAGGTACACCTCCAATTGACTCAAATGATGTCAATTAGCCTATCAGAAGCTTCTAAAGCCATTACATAATTTTCTGAAATTTTCAAAGCTGTTTAAAGGCACAGTCAACTTAGTGTATGTAAACTTCTGACCCACTGGAATTGTGATACAGTGAATTATAAGTGAAATAATCTGTCTGTAAACAATTGTTGGAAAAATTACTTGTGTCATGCACAAAGTAGATGTCCTAACCGACTTGCCAAAACTATAGTTTGTTAACAAGAAATTTGTGGAGTGGTTGAAAAACGAGTTTTAATGACTCCAACCTAAGTGTATGTAAACTTCCAACTTCAACTGTAGGTAAGCCAACACCTACACTGAAAAAGTTGTACTATAGAAATCCTAAAACACTGAAGGCTGGTAACGTCTTCTTGATCCACCTCCAACAGATTCAGAGCAGGTGGCATTATTATGCTTCTATGAAAAATGGAATGGGTTGTTTTGACATTCCCCTATAAACTAGTACACATAGACACACTTCTTTATCTGATACTGCAGAGGAAACCACTGTGTTCAACTAAAAGTTCATTAACTCTTCCATTGGAAGACTGGAAATGATTCTAAACTCTTCCTATAAAATGTTACATACTGTAAAAACAGGATATATGATGACACACAAATCCAAGCCTTCCAATATAGCTTCAATCTGCGAACAAGGTCCTGAAAAGCTTAGCGGGCGGAGGTGCCCAAATTACAGCACACTGATTTCCACTACAGTGGCTGTAACAAGTAGATAGACTGCATGTTACTACACAATTGCCATAAAACGCAGGGAAATAGATTGAGGGAAAAAAGCTGAGATGCAGGATGCTTCACCTGCAGTTCGTGTTCAATACAGCAGGGTTTCGCATGGCTGCTCTGTCAATTAACCCCCATGATACAGATACAGACTCAATCCCATTACTGAACATCTGTTGGGCATTTTCCCCCACTGGCCTTGGAATAGACAATGGATGGGTTGGAGTTTGACTAAAATAAGTGTTACAAAGAGAGATTGAAGCGTTATTTGGAAAATATCAGAATAGAATAAGAATAGAATATACTGTATGTAGCATGTTGATAAAGTGTATGAAGGAACTGTAACTGGTGCTGACCTTACTGACGATATAGATGAGGTCACCTCTCTGGAAGGCCAGCTCATCAGGCTCATCTGCCTCACAGTCCCACAAGCCCTGGTAGTAGTTGGCATAGTCCATGGACCAGACTAAGGAAAAACACACAATGCTGTTACCTAAAATATTTCATTTGAACCAAAAGTCTACATATCAAAACACTTTGAATAACTTTAATAGTGACTAATACCCCTATCACTAATGATCTTTATCTCTATAAAAGTCACACCTAAACACCTCCTCTCTAGAACAGCAGCTTGCTGATATCTAATTTCCTTCATGCCCTCATCTATTTTGTATTAACATAAACTGCTGACAAATGCTGACAAAGAGGACCCTGTGGAAGACAAAAAGTTGATACAGATTGTTGAAAGGGTATCCAACATTTATACATTCAGATTTTTTTTTTTTACTTTCCTATTTTGCTGGTCAATGCGTGCTCTGAGTGGGGTTCAGACCTGGTTTGGTGCTCTTCTCACTGATCTCCTCAATGGGTTCTGGAAAGTCATCGTCTGGAAAACAGGATGAAAACAAAAGAGGTGAGAAATTCCAAGACCTTTCCTGAAAAAGATTATGCACTTTCTGTATTGTGGAGATGTGGGTACCACCTGTCTTCCACCACCTCCCTTGGCCCTGGACACCACTACATACTTCCACCAGGGCCGGTCCTTGCCGTTCTGTCGCCCTAGGCGAGACCAAAAAATGCCTTCCCCACGCAAAACTCGAATAGTCCCAGTAAGCAAAATGACGTTGAAAAGATATCAAAAATACGTATTTTCCAGATGTTGAAGTTAGGTTCTGAATGAAAGGTGAAAGGGTATTTTCTGTATGTTTAAAATACATATTTTCAGGACGTTGAAATCTTGTTCATTTTTGGTTCTGAATGAAAGTGGAAAATAATGGGGTGTAGCCTACAATGTCAGCCCGCAATGGAATTTTATGAATGCCCATCCATGTGGTAGGCCCACCGTTTGTAAAACAGGCCATTGCGTTGGCTTTATTAGTCAAGATTCCTGTGACTAATCAATTTGGCTATTTAAGCTCTGAATATCAGCTGCCCAACTTTATCAGGAGTTATCGTGAGCCTATTTGCAATTTGTTAACACAGTGGGAAATGCAGAAGTATTTTCTTTTTCGCTATGATCAGCATGTCAAAAACAATTGACGGATACAAACTTGAAACCCCTGATCATGACAATGGGGTGAAACTCCTGGACAACAGTTGTCCATTTTACATTGACCTGTCCTGTTTTTAGGATATGTTGTTTGCTGACATGACAGTGCATTTTTTTATTTGCTTGAGCGCCATTTAGGTTAGGCTATTTGATCGGAGAAACCTGCATGATGTAAAAAGTGTCTGTCTCATTACATTGTCATACATTTTATCTGCAGCCTGTAGGCTACAGAAAAGGCCACATACTATTTCTACCATATCCTATATCTGCTATGTTAAATGATTGTTTTGACGGAACGTTGGTGGAGCACCGCAGCAATGCGTCTCTCCAACAACACCCTGGAGAGGTGCGCTGGGAATGGACAAGCAAAATATTTTGCGTCCCTGCCTTTCACAACATGGGCACTGCTTATCACAGGGGGTCATCAGCGCTCACCTAAAAAGACCATATGCCACTGGTTGGGAGAAATTGTCATTGTTTTTGGGCAGAATTATGTGATGTTTTATGTGTTGTTGTTGGAGGTGCGTCTTGTTCAGTTTAGATCAGAAAATGCCGCCCTCGTCAATCTGGCAGGATTAGGCGGCCGCCTAATCCTGCCTAATGAGCTGGCTGGCCCTGTTTACATGCAGCCAATAGGGCACTTACTCTACCTTACGTTTTAACAGTGCTAATCAATTGCCCAGACAAGCAGGGATGTGCACTTCACCACATTCCAATGAACAACAGAGTTTACATTTTTTACCATATGCTACTGTTAATTTTGAATCACATGAACCAAATGTCTAAAGGGGACACTTCTCAACCTCCTTAGCCTTAGAGGGAGATGTGACATTGATTACGGGCGTGGCACCTCGTGGTCTGAGAGGTGACAGTGATATCCCTGCTCTCTGTCTCCCACATCCATCGTCACGCTGTCAGTCTGACAGTAAAGCCACCAGCCAGCAACCCTATACACCCTCCAGAACAACCTGCCCTCTGCTTCCAGTAACAGCAGGGAAAAGACACACACACAAAGATGCACATGTGCACGCACACACACACACACACACACGCATGCACACACGCACACGCACGCACACGCACACCACTGACCAATACACCTACTGCACCAACTTAACAGCCATGGTTACCCATTAAAAAGTTAACTTGTTACAATAATTATAATAATAGGAAAATATCTTTCTTGTCAGTCTTTAAAAGGAATATGTGAAAAGAACAAGGTTTGTAATCAATGCACGATGTCCAGTGCCTTTTAAGAAAATCTGAGAGCGACCAAAGAAGGAAAGAGAGATTGATAGGTGATAGGGTGAGAAAGTGAAAGAAAAAGACTGTCATTCGATACACCATCTGTGGTCAGGGTCTGTACCCAACCCAGATGTCTTTTTATGGTGAAAAGGCAAGACACATATCTCTCCAATCAATGATTTCGGCAAAGGGGAAACAGAATCTTGATGTATCTTAAATGGAGTGATGGATAATGACACCGAGAAGTCGCCCCCTATGGTCATTCTCAGGATCCCTTTAGCCACCCACCTGCCTGTGGGACAGTCCTGTATTTCTTCTGTAACAGCAGCCAGATCTCTGACACTCTTATTAGGATAACATGATTTATAATGTGTAATTAGTCTTTGAGTTACAGTGATAGTGTTGCATCTCTGAGGGGTTATGAGAATGTGTGTGTGTGTGTGTGTGTGTGTGTGTGTGTTCTCATACCTGGGAGCACCTCGTAGATATCATCCTCCTCTTCTTCCTCCTCCCCCTCTTGCCCCCCCTGCCTGGGCCTCCATTCCTCCTGGCTACTGAGAGAGGCTTTGGCCTGCTGGGACAGGACGGGGACAGGGGCGGGGGTGGGCCGAGTGGGAGGGCTGGCCACCCCGGTCACCCCCTCAATGTCATCATAGGTCTCCTCCTCCTCTTCCTCTTCCTCTTCCTCATCGTCATCAAAGGGGATGAAGCTGGAACTCAAATCTGCATGGGACACAGACACGGCATAAAATAATGAGCAGTGTCTCTAAATCGAGCACAGCATGAGCTATAACCAATTGAGTATCCATAGGACCCAGAGTAGAAGATGGCGTCCACTGACTTCCCCATTTGATGATATTAAAAAAATATATCTGTGAAACATCTAGCCATTCTATTGGACATTAGTGGACAGCTTTGATGAACAGCTGGCGGGAAAAAGGAAAAATCTACCCAGCATAAATCCACAGCAAACAACAGAGAGCAAAATATTTGCCTCGAACTCCATGTATATCTGGGTCTTGTTTAGTAGTAAAAGAGGACAAGACAAATGATGGGGTGTCTGTTACATCCCGCAAATCAGCCCCTTTAAGAGCAGCCGGTGCAGCCCGCCTCGCTCAGATGGAGCAGCGCTGTGATTGCTGGCGACTGGGCACTGCAACACAGGGTATCAGGTCCTCTGTGATGCACCATGGGCCAGGCAGAAATCAATGCCGCTAGAGGATAACCAGAACAACCACCAATCAATTTCCCGTAAGGGGGAAATCATTTGGGGGGGGGGGGACGCATGACATGAATGCCTTGTGACGTGGCGGATGAGGAGGTTCGGAAGGCATCTGATTGGTTGTTTTGGGGATGGATATATTTGGGAATGGATATAAATGGTTTGTTTTCTGCCCTTTCAGGCCAAAAAGTCAGTGAGGCAATACCAATCTAACAGAGGACAAGAAAACGTACACAATTATCACTATAACATACTACTGTGTCTTTGAAATAGCTTTGGAAATATGTTGACATACCTTTCAGGACAAAGTTGATCTGGTCCACCCATTCCCTGGCCTCTCGCGGACTGCTAGCAGTGAACTGGGGAGGATAGTCACCATCATACAGTATGATCATTAGGTCAGACTGGTATGCTATGAAACATTACTGTCATTCAATCCCATTGTTAGGAGTCAGTCGTATCGTTATTGTACTGTACACCCACCTGGAAGGAGCGTCGGTCAGGGGCACTCAGCTCAAAGCAGGCATTCTTCTTAGAGTCTTTACGTAGGTTGGCCACCAGCTCTGCGCTGTAGCCATTGATATAGAAGGAGCCCTTCTGCTGCTTGTCTGAAGGAAGAAGTGTCAACTCAATCCCCTCACCCAAATGTTCACATGTATGAGTTCCAGGCATAAATAACTACATGGATAAATGGTCTGCTTTAGTGTGATGTGAGGGTTTCAAACCAACCTTTGTCACTCCCAAAGTAGTAGAATATTGTGTTATTAAGGACACACCATCGCTTTTGCCATTCTAAGCTGAAGAAGCTGTGATCTAAATGGAAAACGGAATGAAAAGAACAAATCATGTCATTCTTCCTACAAGTCTGTAAATGACTCAACATTCCATATGTCTATTATAATAGTCTAAATCATCTAAGTACCTCGTCGTTTCTTCTCCAGGTAGCCTTGTTTCAAGATGTTACTGAGATCCTGGGCTGCCACCATTTGGATCTCCTCAAAGTCTGTGGAAGATCACAAAGTAGGATACATGTAAGATGGCAGAACATTTTTGGTCTATTATTGTATTTGTCATGGACTCCATGTTGAAGATGGTTCTCTCCTACACAGAGAGCAGCAACAGGCCACACTGCAGCAGTCCCCCAGGCCCTGGATCAAATACATCACTGCTAGCTTTGGGGAAACTGTGATCAATACATTTACAGTACTTCTGCAGCTGTTGCTGCTGTGCTGCAGATTAGCGATGCAGCAGGTACAGTACATCTGCTCCCACTGCAATATCAGTGGGGAATGACTAGAAAGGGTTTCTGGATGACTCCCTCCTGGTCTGGAGCTTCAGTCATACAATGACTCTGCACCTCAGAGGCCGTTAGGTGTGTGTCATTAACTGACCCTTACACATGTAGAAGTGTAAAAGAATGGCAAGCTCAGGACCCTGAGACTTGACACCTCCCTCTGCAACTGGATCCTGGACTTCCTGATGGGGCGCCCCCAGGCGGTGAGGGTAGGCAACAACACATTCGCCACGCAGACCGTCAACACCGGGGTCCCTCAAGGGTGTGTGCTTAGTCTCCTCCTGTACTCCCTGTTCATGCATGACTGCATGGCTGCGCACGATTCCAACACCATCATCAAGTTTGCTGACGACATGACAGTGTTAGGACAGATTACCGATGACGATGAGGCAGACTATAGAGAGGAGGTCAGAGACCTGGCAGTGTCTTGCCAGCACAACAACCTCTCCCTCGACGTCAGCAAGACAAAGGAGCTGATAGTGGACTACAGGAAACAGATGGGCTGTAGTGGAGCAGGTCGAGAGCTTCAAGTTCCTCGGAATTAACATGGCCCACACACACCCACACAGTTGTGAAGAGGGCACGACAGCACCTCTTCCCCCTCAGGAGGCTGAAAAGATTTGGCATGGGCCCTCAGATCCTCAAAAGGTTCTACAGCTGCACCATTGAGAGCATCTTGACTGGCTGCATCACCGCTTGGTACGACAACTGCAAGGCACCCGATGGCAAGGCGCTACAGAGGGTGGTGAGTATATCACTGGGGCCAAAGACTCCAACCAACCAAGCCATAGACTGTTCTCTCTGCTACCGCTCGGCAAGCCGGTACCAGTGCACCAAGTTTGGAACCAACAGGACCTTGAACAGCTTCTACCCCCAAGCCATAAGACTGCTAAACAAGACTGCTAAATAGCTCATCAAATGGCTACCCGGACTACCTGCAATGACCCTTCTTTGCACTAACTGTCTTGCACACACACTGGACTCTACCCACACACTCACAGAAAGTGCCTTCAGAAAGTATTCACACCCCTTGACTTTTTCCACATTTTGTTGTGTTACAGCCTAAATTTAAAATTGATTACATTTATATTTGTGTCACTGGCCTACACACAATAACTCAATGTCAAAGTGGAATTGTTTTTTTAAAATTATTATATACAAATGAATTTAAAATGTAAACCTGAAACGTCTTGAGTCAATAAGTATTCAACCCCTTTTTTATGGCATGCCTAAATAAGTTCAGGAGTACAAATTTGCTTAATAAGTCACATAATAAGTTGCATGGACTCACTCTGTGTGCAATAATAGTGTTTAACATGATTTTTTAATGACTACCTCATCTCTATACCCCACACATACAATTATCTGTAAGGTCCCTCAGTCGAGCAGAGAGTTTCAAACACAGATTCAACCATAAAGACCAGGGAGGATTTCCAATACCTCGCAAAGAATAACACCTATTGGTAGATGGGTAGAAATAAAAAAAAGCAGACATTGAATATCCCTTTGAGCATAATGAAGTTATTAATTACACTTTGGATGATGTATCAATACACCCAGTCACTACAATGATACAGGCATCCTTCCTAACTCAGTTACCGGAGAGGAAGGAAACCCCTGAGGGATTTCACCATGAGGCCAATGGTGAATTGAAAACAGTTACAGAGTTTAAAAGGCTGTGATAGGAGAAAACTGAGGATGGATTAACAACATTGTACTTACTCCACAATACTAACCTAATTGACAGAGCGGAAAGAAGGAAGCCTGTACAGAAGAAGAAAAAAATCACAAACATGAATCCTGTTCGCGACATGGTACTAAAGTAATACTGCAAAAGTAGTCACTTTACCCCTACCTACAGTGAGGGAAAAAATTATTTGATCCCCTGCTGATTTTGTATGTTTGCCCACTGACAAATACATGATCAGTCTATAATTTTAATGGTAGGTTTATTTGAACAGTGAGAGACAGAATAACAACAAAAAAATCCAGAAAAACGCATGTCAAGAATGTTATAAATTGATTTGCATTTTAATGAGGGAAATAAGTATTTGACCCCCTCTCAATCAGAAAGATTTCTGGCTCCCAGGTGTCTTTTATACAGGTAACGAGCTGAGATTAGGAGCACACTCTTAAAGGGAGTGCTCCTAATCTCAGCTTGTTACCTGTATAAAAGACACCTGTCCACAGAAGCAATCAATCAATCAGATTCCAAACTCTCCACCATGGCCAAGACCAAAGAGCTCTCCAAGGATTTTTTTGTTGTTATTCTGTCTCTCACTGTTCAAATAAACCTACCATTAAAATTATAGACTGATCATTTCTTTGTCAGTGGGCAAACGTACAAAATCAGCAGGGGATCAAATACTTTTTTCCCTCACTGTATATGTACAGAGCTACCTCAATTACCTCATACCCCTGCACATCGACTCGGCACTGGTACTCCCTGTATATAGCCATGTTATTTTTTACTCATAATTGTTATTCGTTATTCAATGTGTATTTATTCCTCGTGTCACTATTTATATATATTTTTTAAATCTTTATCTCTGCAATGTTGAAAAAGGACCCGTAAGCATTTTACTGTTTAGTCTACACCTGTTGTTTATGAAGCATGTGACAAATACAAGTTGATTTGATTTAAACATCCACTATGTCTTCATTTTGACTTTAAATGGCCATTATATGTCTCTCTTTACGACTCCATCTAGGATTCCACAGTTGAATGGAATTCAACCAAGGTGCCTGTCATCGGGCTTGAGCCTAGTTACCAAGGAGGGAGGATGGGGAAACAGGTGGACCCCTTTGGTTTGGGGTGCAGGAGTTATTTAAAGCCAATTTATACTAGTCTGGGTGACCTTTAATTCAATTTGGATCACTGATGACAGGGAAAGAGGCCTGGAATCCATCTCCTTTGAACCAGACCTTGACTTTCTACGAACAAAACCAGACACGCTGCGCCACAACTGAGTCTTCTTGTCCAAACAAAGTAGATGAAACCCCCCAACGTTCAGCGGAGTGGAGCCTCTCTCTCATTTATTACAAAATCCAAAACACGAGAGAGGAAGAGACAGAGCTGGTAGCCTGCCCTAGCTAAAATGTCAGTGGCTATCTGCTCCTGTTGTTTTACTGTATGCAAATTAAATCAGGTCCAGAGTACAATGGAATCAAAGTAATATCTGAACTACATGCCGTATAAGGAACATAACAGAGATTTGCGTTATAAGCCCATCCTATGTGTGTGTGTGACATGGTAACGCTGCACTGTCCGCTGTACCCTCGCAGGTTCTACTGACAGATGAGGCGGTCACTGGCGGTCAGCTCAGAGTGTGGTCCCAGACACCTCATGACACTACCACACTCACATATCACCCTGCTTTGTGGATGACTGACTCGTGTCGCTATAAATACAGCAGCTAGCACTACGCCGCTACAGACTATTTTGTTAAAGAGAACCTTTTCATAACACAATCCCAGTCATTAGGCTTCCCCACCTCATCCATCCAGTGCTCTGTTCATTTTTCTAGGCCTGCTTCCCTGTCATGGCACCTTTTAATCCCCTCGTCCATCTACTTCCTTCTCTCTTCAAAGGTCATGCCCAGTTAATAGTTGAGGAGATATAAAGTCAACAAAGGGATGGTTAGGTCTGCTTGAATCAGTAAACAACAGAACAATGGCTTCTCATCCTCAAAGGGAGCTCTTTGACCAGGCCTCATGGTATAAACCAGGGAAGTGTTTCATACTGGATTTAAAAGATATCGGAACGGTCAAGGAATTGCTCTTACAGCTTGAGGACAAAATTCACCAACAATTAAGGGGCTGGGGATTTAGAACGATTCTTGATTGTTCCAGGGTTCTATCACAAGGTAGCAGTGTAACCTTAAAGTTCACATACTGTACATTCAGAAATCCTACTCCCCTGACATATTTTAATCCCACCCCTCTGTATGACAGATTCTGATTGGTTGAGAGCAAGCAATACCTTAGCTTATGAAAAAACGTATCAACAGCTATAACAATGTATCTACTCTTGGTTTGAGCCAAAAGTTGCAAATATTTATTAAAAACATGTATGATTCACACAAACCACAAATACAGAATCCAATATGTTTCAATTATGATGTTTCGTAAAAGACAGACACATAAAGAAGCAATGAGATGATATTTTCCCCAAACTGAAGAGCACCAACTAATGAAGACTTCTTCCAAATCCCAGATGGAGGCTGTTCTTCTATCAATCGTAAATTGCATTATTAATTATTCAGCGCTATGCATCTACTTCAATTTCATTCTTTTCCTGTTTAAATTAGTGTCTTCATATACTTTATATTGTTATTAATTAAACAGATATACACCTCCAAAAACCCAATTTTAACCCCTAAACCAAAGTGATCTATGATGCATGTGAGCTGCCATAGCTGTGTCATGTCCACTCTCTCTCATTTGGTTATTCACCCTCAGTCTCAGCATGGTGTTATGAGCTCAGCAGTTGATCCAGCAAAAAACTCTTGATTTATGTGATAATGACCAGAAGGAGTTAATGTATTCTCCCATTAAAATCCACTTTAGTTATGCTGCAAGTCAATCAGAGGCTGGCTAGAGAGTGAATCATAATGAAGGCAAATGGTAGGTGGGAGGACGAACACATTATATTATATCTATATTGCCATAATGCAACAAAGATGTTATAAAAACAATAAATGGTGTAA